CAGGATTAGGGTGTGGCTTACCACACCCATAGGTTATAAATCTCCAACGCGCGGTCCGAGAATTCATTCCCTGAAGAAGTCCGCTAGGTTGAGGACGAAACGTCGGGAAAACTTGCTAAGAAGTACAGATGATGGGTGAGAAACCTTCCTTTGCTTTGACTAATCCCTGTACGACTGAGGGCTTACACAAACTTATCGCTAAAATTAGGAATTTCCTTCCTAAAAGTGACGCGGAAAAACTTCTTCACGCGTTTGTCACCTCAGGGCTCAACTACTGTAACGCTTTATTGGCAGCGTGCCCTAAAGCCTCTTTGAAGAGCTTCCAGCTCGTTCAGAATACAGCAGCTAGGATCTTAACAGGTACCAAAAAGAGGGAGCACATAACTCCGGTGTTAAAATCACTCCACTGGCTCCCTGTGGAGTACAGAATAAAGTTTAAAATCCTTCTCTTAACATATAAAGCCATAAATGGCTTGGCTCCTTCCTATCTCCAAGACACGCTAGTGTCGTATCAACCAAGTCGAGCGTTGCGCTCACAAAACGCCAGACGTCTGGTGGTCCCTAAGGTCTCAAAGGTCACTGTTGGCGGCAGAGCATTTAGCTACCAAGCTCCTTTACTGTGGAATCAGCTTCCCATTTATGTTAAGGAAGCAGATACGGTCTCCACATTCAAGGCCAGGCTTAAAGCACTCTACTTTAATTTAGCATATAATTAGGTAATATAAAATATGTGGTGTATATATTATATATATATGCTGTATTATGTTATATATTATACAATATATGTATTATGTTGTGCATTGTGTTATGTTGTATATTATGTTATATATTATGCTGTATGTTATGTTATGTATTATATATGATATATATGGTATGTATGGTTTATATGATATATAATATATAATTAGGTTTGCCTGGATCGGTTTGCACACCTGGTGTGCAATCCATGAATCTTGGTGCTGTAACCTAGACTAGCCTAGCCGTGGCTGCTGTTGTCTCACCTCCTTTCAGATACGCTCTCTTTATTCAAGGCTAGGTTTAAAACAGTCCTCTTTAGTTCAGCATATGGCTAGGAAGGTAAGACTCAGGGAAGGCTAAACTCCTCAGACTGTCAGTCAAGCTCCATAGGGAGTCAGTTTGCTGGGAGTATATATGGTAACTTGAGCACTATCCTCTCCTCCTTCCTACTTTATCTGTTTAGCATTTTTAGGATTTTGACTGTAGTTTGTTCATTGCTATTCACCCGTTGTCCCATTGTCTGTTTCATGGTACGATGACGGGCTCTCTGAGCCTGGCTTCCTCCATCTACACCTGCGGACTGCCCAGCCCGACCCGCCTGGGAGTGCTTCAGTCCCAGTGATGGGAATAACGGCGTTACTTTTTTCAGTAACGAGTAATCTAACTAATTACTTTGACTGTAACTATAACGCCGTTATCATTTCCGACATCCCGTTACTGCGCGTTACTCATGACGCACAATGAACTTCTCTTTTTACTTCATGATAGGACTCGTGCGCGTGTTGTCATGAGAGAAGGGAGGATGAGAAAACCTCTCAGCAGTTATTGGCTGATGTAAAACATATTTCCTTTACAATCTACATGTCTACAGTTGAGAGGATGGCTCATAAATTGTGTTTTTGAAACAAATATGGGTCTTAATCGCGCTCAACCACGGCTTGTATTACCGTGAGGCCTCAGAGGAGCTCATGTGAGCGCAGAAGTCGACTGCATACAATTCCATCGATAAGGTCCTTTCTCTTCCTGGTTTATCTGCTAAGGGCAGCAACAGGTTTGGCTAACATACATATAACACATTTTAAGATAATTTAAAATGTACTTAGGGTAATTTTTCAATGACTTTAGGAATGATAAGAAAGAGAGGTGAAGTGTAAGACGGTTGGTTTTAGAAATTGGATGCACCCAGCTGCAGCTAGCAAAACAGAGGAGTTTATGGAGGACACACGCGTTTTGTTTTACTTTTTAAAACTCATTGGACTCATTTCCAATTGGAGGATTAACGCTACATATCTATGCTCAAAGTATTATCTGGACTTAAACATGGAACTGGTCTGAACCGAAGTGGTCTGTGCAGGTCATTTATAAGGTAAGACCCATAACTCACAGTTTTGCGTTTTGTATGAACAAACAATGCGGGCATGAAACATATTTTGCTGTAGCCAAACAAATTGTCCACTTGATTTATATGATATGATATATGTTCATCTGATTGGGCTGAAGTCAGTGCTTCACCGGTGTTTCCACATTCACAGTGGAGCGTGTTGGTGTTTAGTGCTTACAGCACAGAGAGAGATGAAGAGTGAACAGGACTTCAGCAGCAAAACTTTTCTAGATGGAAATATTGGCACTATTTAAACTCACTGAGGTTAAAGGTAAAACTGCGCACGTCGAGTGCACATTATGTTCCAGAACAAAACGAAAAAGTAACGCAATAGTTACTTTTACTGGTAACTAGTTACTTTTACAGTGGAGTAACTCCGTTAGTAACTCAGTTACTTTTTGGGAGAAGTAACTAGTAACTATAACTAATTACTTTTTCAAAGTAACGTGCCCAACACTGTTCAGTCCTGCACCGGACCTGTCCACGTTCAGCGGCCACTGGTCCACGTTCTGTAGCTAGCTTAGGTCCTAGATCATTAGCCTGTCCGTCCGGAGGAGCGGATCCCTTTCTCAAATGGGTCTCCCTCCCTGTGGGTTTCCCTAGTTCTCCCCAAGGTTTCTCACTTTTTCCCACTGGGTTTTTTAAGAGTTTTTCCTTGTCGATGCAGGAGGGTCTTGTTGGACAGTTAGTGTCCAACAGAAAGGATTGGTGATGATCAGGACACTTTAGCATTCTACAACATATATGGACATTTTCTTGTGGGTGCTTTATATTTTTCATGTGCTTTAACTGTTGATTCTCTGACCTGTGTTGGTGACTTCTGTTGTGACCTAGGGCTATACAAGAATAAATTGTATTGTATTGTGTTGTATCGTATTGTAGAATGTTAAAGTGTCCTGAATCATCACCACAGTCCTTTTTGTTGGACACTAACTGTCCAACAGACCCTCCTGGATCGGAAAGGAAAAACTCAACAACAAAAAAACTGTTTTGAAAAAAGTGAGTAACCTCGGGGAGATCCACATTGAGAGAGGGATCTGCTCCACACGGATGGACGGGCTGTAGATCCAGGACCTAAGCTACAGAACGTGGACCAGGGCCAAGCAGTGGCCGGAGAACAAGGACAGGTCCCAGGCGGGTCGGGCAGGGCAGTCCGCAGGTGTAGATGAAGGAGGCCAGGTTCAGAGATCCCGTCGTCGCATCATGAAACAGACAATGGGACAACGGGTGAATAGCAATGAACAGATTACAGTCAAAATCCTAATAATGCAGACAGATAAAGTAGGAAGGAGGAGAGGATAGTGCTCAAGTTACCACACTTTTACCACACTTGAATGTAGAGACAGTATCTGCTTCCTTAACATATGGGAAGCTGATTCCACAGTAAAGGAGCTTGGGAGATAAATGCTCTGCCGCCAACAGTGATTTTTGAGACCTTAGGAACCGCCAGACGTCTGGTGTTTTGCGAGCACAGTGCACGGTTTGGTTGATATGACTCTAACATGTCTTGAAGATAAGAAGGAGCCAAGCCTTTTTTGGCTTTGTATGTTAAAAGAAGAGTTTTAAACTTTATTCTGTACTCCACAGGGAGCCAGTTGAGTGATTTTAACACCAGAGTTATTTGCTCCCTTCTTTTGGTACCTGTTAAGGTCCTTGCTGCTGTATTCTGAACGAGCTGGAAGCTCTTCAAAGAGGTTTTAGGGCATGCTGCCAATAAAGCAAGCAGTAGTCAAGTCTTGAGGTGACAAAAGCGTGGATCAGTTTTTCCGTGTCACTTTTAGGAAGGATTTCCTGAGTTAAGGATGTGGAAATACGCCGTTTTAGTTGCTTGGTTAATATAAGCCTTGAATGAGAGTTCTTTGTCGAAAACAACCCGAAAATTTCTCACAGTGTTGCAGGGTACTACGCTCATGTTGTCAAGAGTGATTATCCGGTCGCTTTGGACCAAGTAGGATCACTTCTGTCTTCTCCGGGTTAAGAAGTAGAAAGTTAAGAGTCATCCACGTTTTAAGGTCCTTTACGCAGGCACTGAGCCTTTTCAACTGATCCGTCTGATTTGGTTTCATCGTCAGATAAAGTTGTGTGTCATCTGCATAGCAGTGAAAAGAATCGGTCTGAGTACCGATCCCTGAGGCACACCGAATTCCACTCTAGAATAAGGCTAAAAATGTTGATTCACATTGACAAAGTGATGGGCTGTTCCTCTGAGACCTGCCTCCGCAGTAGAATGCTTTGGTCTATTGTATCAAATGCAGCGCTGAGGTCCAGTAAGACCAACACTGACACTTTTCCATTATCAGCAGCTAGTAGTAGGTCATTTGTGACTTTGACTAGTGCTGTTTCAGTGCTATGATGAGCTCTGAATCCTGATTGAAAGACAAATTCAAACATATTATTATCCTGCAGATGGCAGCAAAGTTGTTCAGCTAAAAGCTTTTCCACTATGATCCACTATGATTATACAATTGCACTATGGCAGTTTGTGAGATTAGCGACGGAGCTAAACAAAAATCTACTGTTGTTTTTATTTGCTTCTATTAAAGTTGATTAGTATTGAGTTTGAGCCCTACAAAGTGCATTCTTGTTGTTTGGGAGACCTGCTCTCCACTCCCTGTGGACAGGCTCCGAGTGGGAGTGGCGACATAGCCTCTCCAATTTTCTAACGTTCTGTTTTAAAGTGTTAACTTGGATATTTTACTAACTATGAATACTTAGTTTGGCTATATCACAACACAGACAAAAGTCCAAGGAAACTAGCAACTTTCAAGTTTTGTGTAGTGTTGTGTTTCATGGATTCCCTGTTTTATTTTGCGTTAGATCCATTGAAATGCATGCTTTCTGCTGTAAATGTTTATGTGATCACCATGCTCTGTTGTTCCAGGGGCATTTGCTCGGGGACCTGAGACTCAGAAACTGTACCACAGTTTTTAACCACTTTACAAAGGAACAGAGCGGAAGTTACTTCTTCAGACTGGACTGCCCCAAATCCACTTTAAAGTTCACCTTTGAGGAAGGAGTTCACATCACTGTCACAACAGGTACATGGACTAAGTACACACTTAGGTCAGACTTAAACCAATCTCAGGTAATCTCAGGCTTTAATTCTGTTGATTTGTTTATAGCCCTAAATCACAACAACAGATATCTCGGAGGGCATTACAAAGCTGTTGATCAAAGAGCAAAACATTTCAAATACAGGAAATGCAATGATGAAAAAACTCTTAGTCATTAGTCCATAAGGGGAAGAAACCAATGTCCATAAATTTCCTAAAAAGTGCAGGATCACCACTGTCACTCAGACTGACCACACCAAGTCAGGAAGTAAAATAAGCTGAAAAATGACAAATTCATAATTTGAAGATGCTCACAGCTCTGCAGCCAAAACATGTTAACAAGGAAACACATTTAACTTGTCTTTCAAAAGAACCACAAAGAGAATTTTAACCCAAAACATAATGAAACTTTTTGAATCATTACTGTCCTCAGACCCTTGTGCGTCTGCAACAACTCTAATAACAATGGGAGACCAATGACCTATTTTTTCAGTTTTCAATGTCAATGTCAATGTCAATGTCAACTTTATTTATATAGCACATTTACAACAACACCAGCTGCCCAAAGTGCTTCACAGGCACGAATGATAAAAATAAAAATAAAACAGTATAAAATACATACACATACATGTAAAAGTAAAGTGGTAAAACCTCAATTGGTGTTAAAAGCCAAGGTGTAAAAATTTGTCTTTAAACTAGACTTAAAAACTTCCAATGAAGGAGCTGCTCTGATGAACAGAGGTAGACTATTCCACAGTTTGGGGGCAGCAACAGAAAAGGCTCGGTCTCCTCGAGTTTTGAGACGAGACCGGGGCATATTCAACAACATCTGGTTTTCGGACCGCACTGATCTGACCGGAGCATACAAAGATAACAGCTCCGACAGATATACAGGGGCCAAACCATTCAAACATTTAAAAACAAGCATCAGAATCTTAAAATCAACCCTGAAAGTAACAGGGAGCCAGTGAAGTGAGGCCAGCACGGGGGTGATGTGCTCTCTCTTACGTGTCCCTGTGAGTAAGCGAGCAGCAGCATTCTGCACCTGCTGAAGGCGCTTTAAAGAGCCGAGGTCCAGACCACAATACAACGAGTTGCAGTAATCTAATCTTGAAGAAATAAAAAGGTGGATAACTCGCTCAAAGTCAGTCGGTGGGATGTAAGCCTTCACTTTGCTCAAGACCCGGAGCTGATAAAAGCTGGCTTTGATTACTGAATTAATTTGCTTGTCCATCCTAAAGGTGCTATCAAAAATAACTCCTAAGTTTCTGGCAGAGGAATGGACATGAGCAGAGAGTGCACCAAGTGCATCAGTGAGCTCCACAGGGAGGCTGGAGCTAAAAACAACAATCTCAGTTTTATTCTTGTTGAGAATTAAAAAATTGTGGGCCAGCCATGATCTTACTTCCTGGAGACAATCTAGCAGTGTTGCAATTGACACTGAGATGGGATTTAAAGGCAGGTAGATCTGCAGGTCATCAGCATACGCATGAAAGGAGACATTGTGTTTCTTTAGAATATCTCCAAGTGGCAGCATATACAAAGAAAAAAGGGCGGGGCCTAAAGTGGAGCCCTGTGGAACGCCACAATTGAGGGGTGCCAGGCCAGACTTGTAGGGCCCAAAGTAGACAGAAAAACACCTGTTACCAAGATAGGACCTGAACCAGTTTAATGCGGTGCCTTTAAAACCAGCGTAGTGCTCCAAACGCGAAATTAAAATGCTATGATCTACAGTGTCAAAAGCAGCTGTCAGATCTAAAAGAACTAAAATGGCAGGAGAACCAGAGTCAGCTGTTAAAAGCAGATCATTAAAAACTCTGAGCAGTGCAGTCTCTGTGCTATGTAGAGCTTTAAAACCTGATTGAAACGTGTCAAAGATGCCATTTGTGTCCAGATGCTGTTGGAATTGATTAAGAACTGTTTTCTCCAATACTTTGGCTAAAAAAGGCAGCTTCGAAATAGGCCTGTAATTAGCAAGAACAGTGTTGTCCAAGGTGGGCTTCTTAAGAAGTGGCTGAACTACAGCTTGCTTAAAAACACCCGGAACACAGCCAGATAAAAGGGATGCATTGATAACATGCGTGACGTGACGTAAGGCCCAACAACACCAAAAACACTTTTTAAAAAATGTGCAGGAACAATATCCAGTGGACAATTGGACTGTTTAAGATGCTGGACAATTCAATTACCGTATTTTATTACACGCACTGGCACAGGTAGGTACAAGGCAGTCCAGTCATACTGTCCATAAGCATGCCTTATAGTGTACATAGTGACTGTCATTATATTTGTAATAATTCTAATTATATTTTAAATTTCATACCATAGAAGTGTATGCTAAATTTGTATTATCTTATGATGCCTTACTCTATTCTCTATTCTATACCTCTCTTCTTTGACTGATGCACTGAGCCAAAGCAATTTCCAAGTCTGTGACTTCCTGTTACTTACGTGACAATAAAAATGATTCTGATTCTGATTATAAATCCAGGACCCAGAGTTATACTCTTTGTTTTTACTCTGACGTTCTAATGATGCTCTGAATGTTGTTGTTTCTTGTAACAATAAATGATGACATTTTTTACCAACCACCTGTTTTCAGAATGTCACTAACCTCAATCCTGAACTCCCCTCAGCCCCGCCCTCGCCACCCTCTCTAAGCGCCATGAGTCATGTGACCTCCGTGCCGCTGGGGGGTCTGGTGAGACTGCGGTGCGTTGCTATGGCGCCCTGTCCCAATCTGCCCCCCTCCCTCACATGGTCCGCCCCCGAGAGCGTCAGGAAGGAGAGCACCCGAATACTGCAGGTAACATCACAGTTTATGAATGTTGAGCAAGAATCCAATATAAGAATATACAAATACATTTATGACTGGGACATTCACACAGATGTTACAAATACTGTAGTGTTTCTTTAGAGTTATTCCCCTCTGATGCAGGAAGGTCTAAGGACAGTGGTGATGATCCAGGACACTCCACATATAAGACATTTAAGGACATTATCAACATTTATGGACCCGTGGTATCTGCCCCTTATAGACCAATGGCTCTATGTGTGTTTATCATTGCATTTCGTGTGTTTGATTCTCTGATCTGTTCTGGCAAATCATTCTTAGAGATAACTGCTCTTGAGATTTTGGGCTAAACAAATATACATTGAATTGAATAATTTATATCTTCAACAACTCTAACTCTGACTGCCATCCCCCCCGACCCAGAAATGGATCAAGGGGAAGAAAATGGATGGATGGATAGATATCTTCAACAACTATAGCAATATGAAAACAGCTAGTTTTGTATTTAAAGACAATATATGTATTTAAGGTAGTGCCTGCAAAAAAATAATATTAAACATACCTAAGATGTGTTAAAACAATAGATAAAGTAATACAAATTTACTGTAAACCAGAAACCAGTGCTGCCTCAAATACAGCTAGTTAAGTGCTTCTTAGTGTATACTGTGTGGTTAGCTCTTTTTTGTATGTATTTTGTACTTTTTAGTCCATGGCCTGATTCTGCATCTAACCAACTGACTGTATCTTTGTAGAACAGGAAGTAGAGTTTGCGTCTTTATCTTTGATGTGGTTTACCCGCTGTGTCTCCCTCAGACTCCAGATGGGCAGATGATGGTGAACTCCACACTGACTTTCAAAGCCGCAATGCAACATCACAACAAGACGGTGACCTGCTCTGTTTCCTATCCGCTATCAGCAGGGGGCAGCAGCGAGGCGACCACCACATCTCACACCCTCTCTGTTCTCTGTGAGTCTCTCCTGCATCTTCACACACAAAACACAAGGTCTAACTGCTGCTAGCACTCTAAAGTCGTCTTTCTATCTTCACCTTTGTAAAAGTATCTAAGCTTCACTTTAACAGAACACATTCTGCCTCAGAGCCCTGACTCTGTCTCTGTTCTGTAGATGGACCTCAGAACACCGCTGCACAGCTAAGTGCTTCTCCAGTTCCAGAGGGTTCTGTGGTGATCTTCAGCTGCACCAGCGACGCCAACCCCTCAGTGTCGGCCTACACCTGGTTCAGCAACACCAACGGAACTGTATGTACTTCTGTGTTACTGGTATTTTTACCTAGGTGGTTTTTGTAACTTTTTATGATAGCCCTCTCCTGGTGTTGCGGATTTGCTACAACTTCATTTCTTATGACCTAAACCCTCCACACAGACATTTTTTCCCCTTTTTTCCTCAGAAGTTCCACTGTTGGACTTAGTTGAGCTTTAGCTTTAGCTTTTCCAGCTACTCACCAGGGGGCACAGCTGTCTCACTTCCAAAATGTCAGTCTCCTTGGTTTCACTGAAACAGATTTTCTAGGCATAATTTTCAAGTAGGTATCACGACCAACCTCTAATAATGGGAAACCATAAACTACATAACTGCAGCCTGCCAATGTTGCAAATCTGCAACATAATCTTCCCCAAATATCAGATTTTAAATGTCTTTCAAACTAATTGGGTCCTGTGGAGATGTGTATATTTTTCATATATTTGGCCTTGTCGTGTCCCAGTGTGGTCACAAGCACAACCTAAAGCCCCGCGGAAACTGGGCTAAAGCCTAGTCTATACTCCGCGGCGCTGGTTACGGTTGCGCCGTAACGCAGGATTAATTGCTTCATAGGTTTTGTGATGCAGGGCTCCTTAAACAGAAAAAAACTGTGGGACGAATAAAGGATCTCTTAATCTCAGAACAGAGTCTGTCTGAAGTCGTATTAATGGCAGATAAAGCAGGAGATTTGTGTGAGTTTCAGGTGGTGCAGGTGGGAGAAGGCCAAACACTGCCCCTACAGGTGAAGCAGACCCACAGCGGCCTGTACGAGTGTCAGGCCCACAGCGAGAGAGGGACGCAGAGGTCTGGTCCACTGGTCCTGGAGGTCACAGCTCTCAGCACTGGTAAGAAGGACTGTGATAAATTGAGTTTATTATTCTGTTTGCTAGAACTTGTATTAAATATTCATCCCAGTTTTGCATCAGTCAAGTGGCAGTTTAGGAGAACAAAGAGCCTGTTTCCTCTTCATCCTCTTCCTAAATTCAGAAGGAAACGCAACAAGTGATTTCTAATGTCTAATGTCTAACAATTAATATTTTATTTTTATGGCAAATTGCATTTCAATACAACAGGTTAACTCTTTATAGGCACCACACATTTGGTATGAAACAGACACAAGTAAAAGCTTAATGAGGTATGGAGGATTAGACTAAAACCACTAATGAAAGGCATATGTTCGATTCATTTTGGGAACAAAGTTGTGAATTTTTAACAACAGATCAGAGAACTAAGCAAGAAATGCTAGCATAAAAAAATAAATAGGAACCAGTGGTCCATAGGGAGTGGGACGACCAATGTCCATAAATATCCCACATCATCACTGTCCTCTCCTGCATTGATAAGAAACTTTTTTTTTTTTAACCAAATGTGAATAATAATGAGACAAAGGATCTGCTTCCATGGACGGACAGACTGTATGCAAGAAAAATTGGCAATAATTATACAGGGATTCATCTGTGAAGTTTTAGGAAGTTATCTCACTGTTTTTACAGGTGCCTAAAAAGTGATATTTCAGTACAAAACAATGCATCAGTAAAGGCTACATATAGTATCAGATATGTTTCAAATGAAGTGAACTCACAATGGACTAGAGTACAGTTAAAAATGAAGCATCATGTATAGAGTGTTATCTTCACCTTAAATAGCAGATCTGGCAGAGGTTTAAGGTTTGGTTAGGGCTCGGGTTCCCTGTGGTTGCGTCAGGACTAGGATTTATGTTAGGCTTAAGGGTTTTGAGCCCGTAACAGTGATCCTGGACTGTTAACTACTAGATGACTGGAGATTCTTAATAGAATGCCTCCATCAAAATATCCCAGGCTACTTCCTTACACCCAGTTTTCTCACAAACGGCTTCAACCATTGTGAGATTGTGAAACTCCTCTGTTGTCTTCAGGCACCTGTCGTCGTTCTACAGACTGGCTGTTTATCGTGTGTGGAGTCTTCTCTGGTCTTTACTTTCTCACTGTGGCTCTGCTCTTTCACAAATACAAGGGGTAATTTTAATGTATAAGCGGATTTATTGTTGTATTTAATTAAACAAAACTAAATGAAAGTACTTACAGCATACTACTGTCTTTCATTTTCTTTCTTACAGCCTTTCAAGGAGACTCACGGTAAGCTTTTTGTCCTCTCAGAATCAATAGGTTTTACGAGACGTATTAAAACCTTGCCACTTTATACATTGTCAATATATTGTTGGATTTGGGACATTTTGTTTTTTTATTATTATTTTTCACACCAGACAAATGTTGTATAGTAATGTTATTACCTTGACATGTCTCACAATGTCTTCCATTTTCCTCTTGCGGTGGTCACTGGAAAAGTCGTACCTGGGTTTGAGACAGTTTGGAATACGTCCTCGTCCCGGTTCATCGTCTCTGATTCTTGTGTTTTTCCAGATCCGATATTTCTGATTTAAAATTTCCCTGCATCTTCTGTTCTGTGTTACCTTTTCTGGTGCTGACAGCTCTCCCTGGTCGATGCCACTTGGGCCTCTGTCAAGAGCAGTGGTCGCTATAGTACAGTGCTCAGAGACCCATCTCCAGATGTTGATGCTCGGCTTGGTCAAGACTAACAGATTTATCTATTGTAAACGTTTTTGGTAGTAGAAAACAGAGCACTCAGAAGAAAAATATGCAGGCACAGGGAGAACATGCAAACTCCCCTCAGAAAGACCCTGTTTTGAACAAGATCCCAATACAGGACCTTCTTGCTGAAAAGATAATGGGACAGTGGTCTCAAATACCATTCTGCGTATATATTTTGTGTGTATATTTTGCTTTTTCATGGCTTTTTCATATATATTCCGAGGGAGACATGTGAGGGTACTCGCATCGCTATCTTCCATTTGTCTTGTATAGAAATACCAAAGACGAAACTCTTTCATACAGCAGGTGGAGAAGAGAGGGGAGAACACCATTTATGCTAATCTACAAACCAGCTGCATCTCCTCAGACTACGACAGTCTCCAGGTGATTAACACAGCTTGTATTCATATTAATATGTGTTATATTTATGTTTCTAATCCATGTGGACTGTGCTTCAGCCTCAGCCTCAACTGAAAAAGACTTCTCCAGAACTGGCCAACTATGAGAACGCTGCAGCTCTGAGGAAGGCTTCAAACAAGACCAGATAAAAGTTACTTTTAATTTTTTTTAAATATCACAAGATCTACAACATTTCAAACCAATTTACTGGGGCGACAGTAGCTCAGTTGGTAGAGCATCACCTTTGGGCCTGAAGGTCATGGGTTTGAATCCACCACGAGACCTACTTCATGACTCCCACTGATGACTGCTGTCGTTGTGTCCCTGGGCAAGACACTTAACCCCACTTTGCCTGAAGCCCCCGCTGGAAGATCAAGGCTCCTGTGGACTCAGCACCTGCAGGAGGATCAGTGAGGGGCTGGTGCTCTGTGTACTGGGTGCAGCCCTAACTGCCACCCCCCGACCAAGAAATGGATTAAGGGGAAGAAGATGGTATGGATGGATAATGGAACCAAGTTAAAATGTATTTCAGATAAGTGCACATGCAGAATCAGTGTTAAACATGGAATATTCAATTCAAATTCATTACAGACTCTAGGTCCAATTTAAACAACATCGATACAGAAAAGACAAGATTCACTTCAGCACAAACAATGTAATAATTTGTTGAGTAAAAAAATTATTCCATTCAATGTAATTTGTTGTTGCTTGTAAACTAAACATCATCTTGGAAGACTGATCTGTGTTGCCGATTTTGCCAACACAGATCAGATCAAACCATTCGAACACAGAAAATGCAACGATAACTACACATAGAGCCATTGGTCCACAAGGGGCAGATGACCAATGTCTATAAATGCCTTAAAATGCCTTGGATCATCACTGTTGTCCTTAGACCCTTCTGCATCAACAAGCAACAAATAAAAAATAAAAACCCAGAGTGATTAAAGACTGAGTAACATTCACGCAGAACTGCATTCTTCCCTGTGCAGCCCTGAGCCTCAGAGTCGATCAACAGTTACAATATTTGACACAGAGATTGGATCAGAGAGCAATGGAGCGCTTGTGAACATATGTATTCATGTGTTGATATTCTACTGTGACTGTCAGTGTTGTTAACGTGTTCGCTGATGAGGAAGTACCAGCGTATGCTTCAAAGCCCGCCCACCACTTCCGCCCTGCTTTTTTTTTAATGCAGGAAAGTACAGCAGCAGTTCAGCCCCACTATATTTTTAAAAATGTATTTCTTTATTTGACAGGGACAATGCAGTCATACATAGTTACATGAGGAACGATGCAGCTGATGCGGCACACACAGAGGGTATAGCTAATGCTGATTTTCAACTCCTGTCCCCGGTTGAGCTTTTGCCTACAGTGCAACACATTATACAGAATGAATAAAATAGGCCTAAACACACATTTACAACAGTGACACATTCCCCCCACCGATGACGGATATACCGACTTCACACATTCACAGTCACGAACACACACTCTCACACATACACACACACACACACAAAATACTCCAATTTACAAGTTTAGAAATGGGTGCATGTTTGGTTTGTTTTAAGCCACAGCTTTAGCTTTGATGTGAACTCTTTAAATTCTACTATGATTTTCAGATCAGTGGGCAGCGAGTTCCACAGTTTGGCTGTTTTTATGGAGAAAGCGGACTGACTAAATGTGGTTCTCCTGTGTGGAATTGCACAGTTGTTGTGGGAGGAACTTCTGGTGACTCTGTTGCTGGTTGTATAAATGAACTTGGTGGCCCTGGTGCGAAGTTATTGATGCATATGAATGTTAATTTCAAAGAGTATCGTTTTATAAAGTTGTTAAAACTAAGTTGATGACGATTTTGAGTATATTGCAGTGATGATGTTGGCTTGGTTTCTTGTCTATTATTTGTATTGCTTGATTGTGTAATGAACCAATGCGCTTTGTGGCTGAGGGAGCTGCCTGGGTCCATGCTGTCATGCAGTATGATATATGGGAGAAGATCATCCCTTGCATGTACAGCAGCCGGGCCGCTTGATTGGGAATGAAATGTCTTATTAGTTTGAAATAGTTAGATTGCGGTGTAAAGTTTTGGAACGTTTTTGTATGTTTATCAAATTTTAATTGTGGATCTAGAATCAACCCTAGGTATTTAAGTTCTGTTATTGTATTGATTTGATCATTTTGTAATATGACATTGAAATTTTCATGCGACAACACAAGTGTTTTCAAAACATCTGCAGTCATACTGGAATACAACATATGACAACATCTTCTAACCACAGTGAGGCCCCTCCCCATTCTACTGGCCACCGCACTAATATGCTTTGACCAAGACAGCTCATTATCAAGGTCAATACCAAGCAGTCTGGACTCAATTTGGGTTCATCCAGCAGCATATGTTTCGTTCAACATAGAAAATGCAATAATTAACCTTTTTTAATGTGTATTGAATACATTTCGGCGTCAATTGATTACCCGGAAGTGAAACAAGTTTATTTACTTCAGCCCTATTGGCTCTAATTTAGTATAATTAATTACGCAAATGACCTCCTGTATTTGTTCAAACACAGACGTCCTGTGATAATACTAATCCCGTGAGAATCTACATGTCAGTGATTGTGATCGCTATCGCTGCTTTCGCTTGACTTTCTGCGTTGTTTTTGTCAATGAGCAGAGGAGTCGCGGATCGCGGCTGCTGCTGTCTCTGTGAGGTCTATGGAGAAGTGTAGAGGACAGTGTAATGTGTTCACTGACACTAAATGACCGGACTGATGGGTTGTGTTTGTACGTTTTCTTTGCACTCCTAATACAGTACAGATGCGTTGCTGCAACTGTTACTATTTGTCGGCTCGCACGTCTCTTAGCAGAGTATGTGGTGCATTCACAAGTCGTCCATGCAAACTCTTATTAAACATTGTAGACAATATGGGCCAGAGAACTGTAGAGCAGTAAAATGTTTGTCCTCATGGTCCCTGTGGCTCTTGTGGTCAGACGCGCGCGACTCTCTGAACTGCTTGAAGAGGGGAGACCCGCGCATCTAGCGGCCCTTACTGGAGTTATGTGAGATGTCAGTGAAAACCGCATTTTACAGATATTACTTATCCCGTGTGAATGCACTGCAAAAACTAAGACGTTCTCCGTTATTATCACAAATTATCAGGAGTCCACAGGTAATTCTAATTCCAAGCAAGTAAACAAACTTGTTTCACTTGACGCCGAAAGGTATTAAATACATATTAAAAAAAGGTTAATTATTGAATTTTCTAGTTACAAAATCCGTTTATTATAATATATATATGTATGTCTTATAAGGAATGAAAAAAAACAAAATGGTCATTTTTGTATATTGCTTTTGTATATTGCTTGTATAGTGTGCCTGAAAATACAAAATAGCCTTTTTTTATTTTGAATTTCCCTTCAAAAATAGAAAATGTATTGAACGCAAAAGTACACGGACCTCCAAGGCAGCTTCCTTGAGGTATACCACAGCCAATTGTTTTTACGTCTGAGAAGCTTCCATTGAAAAATACAGTTTGTTTCTTGTTTTCTAAATAATTTTTAAGCCACAGTGAAGATCAAAAGCTGATCTGAAATCCAGTGATACAGCTCCTGCTAACCTTTTGTTGTCTCATGCTGTCAATCAATCGTTTGTCATCTGAGCCGTAGCTGTTGGAGTCGAGTGACCTGCTCTGTACGCATGTTGGAAATCTGTATTGAGGTTGTTATTAGAAAAATATTGTTGAATTTGATCAAAAACAATCCTCTCCATATTTTTGCTCGTGTAACGCATTACAGGGCTAAGGGTCTGACCGCATGTAGGGTAAGCGTCAGAAGAAGGAACGGTAAGGAGCCCAGGAGTGTGAATAAAACACATGCACAGTTAATAGCTTTTTTGGAAAAAGTATATGTATTAAAGGAACAATATGTAAAAAAAAATCTGGCAAAAAGTGGTACTGCAGTCACAGTCAATATTTTGTAGTCCTCTCCCACTCTCCCTGACTCAGGTTGCCAGATTCACACCAAATCCAGCAGCAAACACAGGGAATTATTTTATCAATTGTTTGTCCGTCTTCATTCACATTGCCATGACAGGCGTGCTAATGCTGAATGAATGTTTTGATTCATGTTTTTTTATTATTATTATTTGGACATTTGAGATAAAAAACAAAATAAAAGCAATGTAATTATACATAGTTTATGCAAAATACATAAGCAATTGATGTCCAAAATAGGAGTGGGAAGAATGGATGTTGGAACGTATTTCTTCAGCGTATCAACATCAGGGTTTGCTCAAGAGGATATCACCTTTCAATTTTATTTTATTCCCTATTTTTTAGACAAACATGTAAAAGTTCCACATCAAAAAGAGACTAACATTATTTTAATTGGGGTACATGTGGTCTTAAATGATTATTTTTACAATTAAGCTATAATCTGCAACAAAACGTCTTGACCTTCGTCTTTTACCGTTTTTAGAGCAATCTGTCATAGAATGTGATAACATGCAATAAATACAAAAAGACATAGCCCGGGATCGAACCCGGGTTCCTGCATCGTAAGCGCACAGTTTAGACCACTAGACCACCGATTCCCAAACTTTTATCAGCTGTCTCAATTGTTCAAAGGCGTCCCGATATAAATCCTCGTTTTAGTCTTTGTTTTGTCCATTAATGATTTGAGAGTCATAACAAGACCTTTTTTAGTTCTGCGCCACATGTTATTTTACCTCTGAGATTAGTGAGCCGCACGGAGTTCTGGCAACCCGATCACAGACTTACATGACACTTTGGCTCTGGCTCCGGCTCTGGCCCTGGCTTCTGCTCCGGCTCTGCTCCACCTACGCCCCATTTCACACCATGCTTCTAGCCACCACCAGTGATTGACCCCGGGGGATCTGAGATCATCTCAGCTGCAATCGATCTCATAGCTGCAAGTGTCACTGCCGGGGTCAATGCGCCAAACAAATAAATCATTTTAATGTATTTATCGTGTCTTTGGTCTCTTCAGATTGAATTCTTTTTGCCTGTGCATACAACTGAAGAATTTTATCTTTTTAACACACCATTATTATTATTTATTATTGGAATCCTTTGTGTGATTTTAACAGTTTTAATTACTTGTGTGATTCTAATGTTTTCATGTTTTTAAT